GTACTTGTTTAGGCTGTGAACTCTGGACCAGTTCTTACTTAACATAACTTCAGTTACAGTAATCAGTAAATTGAAATGCATGCTTCAATATGTTGATTCCCACAATGGGAGTAGGGGTCAGAATGCCCTCCTAAAGAATCACATAGAGAATCCATAGGTTGTCATGTTTATTAGGAGATAATAGACAGATTTAAATTGCACATTATATTTTACTAGTTGCATGATAGTAAAAGGAGAGGTAAAGAGGCATGAGCATTTCTCAAAAATAAGAAAAATGCATGATGTTAGACAGTTTGGGAACTGCTGCTTTAAAGGCCTCCATTAATATCTTGCTCTCAAGAACAGAGAACCCAAATAATTCCAGAATTTTGCAATAGATGATTTAAAATCTATCCAAATTGATGTTGTCAGGTAATGAGAAGTATGTACTTTATATGTGTGTATATCTCTGGAACTGAAAAATTAATTACTATTTTTTCTTTTCTTTTCTTTCTTTTTCTTTTTCCTTTTGAGTTTTTGCCATCTTGGATACTATTAATTATAATAATTGCACTATATTCATTTTATAAGCTGTTTTAATATGTTTTAAGATATGTAAGCCGCCCCGAGTAGACGTTGTCTAGAGGGGCGGGGTAGAAATTGAATAAATAAATAACATAAATAAATAAATTCCAGTGTGGAAACAGTGAAAAGCAAAAATGTTAACCTGTAAATATATAGTGGTCAGCATCCAAATGGTTATTTATGCCAGCATTGTACCCTGTTTTGGGCCTCCAGATAACCTCCAAACCATCCAATTTCTAATTGCCAGGTTTTAGTGTAGTATATAACAGATGTGCTTGTCACCCTGTTTCTCCTGATGCATCATAAAAATAAAATGCACTAATGTGTTTTCCCTGAATGTAGAAAAGGATTACAAATCAGGGTGAATATATTTCATTTATACTGTTTGAACACTAGATGGTACTATAATCTTCTCAACAGAATATTTGAATTCTGATCTGTTTTTATTAATGTAGAGTTTAGCAAATTTAATGTAATATACCTATTAATGTTTCTATACACGACAGCATAAATTGGTCAGATGGTTGTTGTTCCTCCACAACCATCCCATTTTTCCTCTTTTCTTAGTTCACCTA